CAGGCGGAGCACCGCCAGTCTCAGCACCCCCAGGCTCAGCACCCCCAGGCTCAGCACCCCCAGGCTCAGCACCCCCAGGCTCAGCACCCCCAGGCTCAGCACCCCCAGACTCAGCACCCCCAGACTCCGCACCCCCAGGCTCAGCACCCCCAGGCACAGCACCCCCAGGCTCAGCACCCACAGCAGCACCAGAGTCACCAGTGACCTCAACAGGCTCGACCGCGTCTACCTGGGACACACCTGAAGGGGCAGGACCCTGAGGGGGGAGGGGGTCTACCGGGGGGGGACCTGGTACCAAGAAAAGCGGGGGTGGGGGGAGGGACGGAGTGCGGTAGGGGAAGAGGCGGTAGTAGGGTACCGACTCGTCGAACGTGACGTCCTGGGAGGACAGAACACGGCGAGAGGTGGGGTGGTAGAACTGCCACCCAGGGGCGTCGCGGGGGGAACCCCAGGAAGACGCAGGGAGCAGCGCGAGGGGACAGCTTGTCCGCAGACAAGTCGCGGACAAACGCCCGAGATCCCCAGACCCGGAACGCCGACGCATCGCCAACCTTCCCCGTCCACAGCAGGGCTGGGGAGGTCTCCGGCCTGGAGACCCTGGGGTGGAGGTTGATCTGATGCGCCGCGTACCTGACCGCAAACGGCCACAGAAAATGGGGGGCAGCCGCATGCATCATAGACGTACGAGCGACGTCCATGACCATGCCAATGCGGCGCTCTGCAATCCCATTTTGCTGCGGTGAGTCCGGAAGCGTGAAGGTCTGGCGGATGCCTCGCGCACGACAGTAGGCACGCAGAAGGCCAGAGGAGAACTCTCCGCCTCTGTCCGAGTGCAGCCGCAACACATGAAAGTCCGAGCCAAAGCTCTGCCTGAGCTGGAGACGAGCTGCGCGGATCCAGTCGATCAGCACCTCAGTGACATCACCCTTGCTGCGCAAGGGGAAGACTGTGGTGTAACGAGAGTAGTCGTCAACCACCAACAGGAAGTAGCGCTCGTGACCGAGTCCACGGACGCGGGCAGGGCCCCACACGTCCATGTGAAGCGTCTGCAACGGAGCCTCTGTCGGAGGAAACTGGGAGGAGTGAGGGGCAGCACGCTGGCGCCCCTCGACACAGGGGACACAGGCAGGGCCAGGGCCCTGAGGAAGGGGAGGGAGGGACCGGGGGAGACCAGACACAAGAAGACGGGAGGCCATGCCTCTGAGCCGAAGCAGAGAGGGGTGGCCAAGGCGGTGGTGCCAGAGGAGGGTCTCGTGAGACAGACGGCGACACGAACAGGGGGCAGACTCAGGACCAGACCTGGACGCTGCAGCAAACACCTGACCAGACGAAGGGACCCTACCAGACTCAGCACCTGGAGGAGAAGCAGTGGTCAGTGTGTACAGGCTCGACCCTGGCTGACGTGTAAACGTAGCCAGGTGGCGACCTCTGCTAGCCTCTGTGCAGTGTGTCACCCGCTGACGAGCAGGAGTAAACTGGTGGACACCCGCATCCTGTAGGTCAGCACCACTCACCAGGTTCGTAGAGAACGAGGGGAGGTAGAGACCAGACAGGGTGCCAGAGGGAGCCGCCGGACACGGGAGGACTGTGGAGAAACGAGACAGGACAGGACCCCCAGAGGGGTCAGCCAGGGACACCGCAACTGGCCGACTAAGCGGCGTGAGAGTGGTGCGGTCCCGAAAGAAGGAGCGAGACGCCCCAGAGTCCAGGGTGAAGGTGTGAGAGGCCGAAGCCGACACAGTACCTGAGAGTGCAGACTCGCCAGTACCTGAGAGTACAGACGCACTGGCACCTAGAGCAGCAGCCTCACTGGCACCTAGAGCAGCAGTACCAATGCCCGGGTCGGGCGGGAAACACCGGTAATAGTCACCCTCATCACTAACAGTCACAGCATACATGGCAGCAAGGATAGCATCAAAGTCAAGACCAAAAATAGCTACACCAGCCCTAGACAGCTCTCCCCAGCGGGGGATCTCAGAGGCCTCCGGAAACTGCTGGCGCCAAGCGTCTGTCACGCGGCTAAAGCAGCGGCGGGCGGTGTGGGCGCCCCCACACTGCTCACCCGCGCGGTCGCCGGTGCGAAGGACGTAGGTGCAGGGACCAAACGCCCCACCACGCTGACGCTGCGAGTACCACTCACGGAGCTGCGGAGGGGCGGGGACGTCGCGAGAGCGCTGCTGCTGCTGCTGCTGCTGGTGCTGCTGGCGCTGACCACCCCCAGTGCTGCTCCGCTGGGACGAGCCACTCCGACCACCTCCACCACCGCCACCGCCGCCACCGCCGCCACCGCCGCCACCGCCACCCTCGCCCCCGCCGCTCCCACCGCCACCTCCGCCACCACCTCCGCCGCCACCTCCGCCTCCACTGCCGCCACTAGCACCTCCACTCCCGCCACCACCCCCACCGCCACCCCCACTCCCCCCGCCGCCCCCACCTCCTCCGCCACCGCCCCCGCTAGCTCCACCCGCTCCCTTGCCCCCCTTGCCCCTGCCAGAGCGGCGCTTACCGCTGGGGGCAGACGCCGCACCGACCGACTCTAAACCAACGAGGTCGGCCGCAGCAGCAGAGGCGACTGAGGGTAACAGGGGGGAAGGAGAACACCCCTCAAAGATGGGGGTGCGAGGGTCACCACGAGAGGCCCCTACAGCGACTATGCTCTTCTCGGCCGCTAGCAGGGACTTCTCGAGGAGGTCGACAGTGAGGGTGGTGGGACAGACAGAGAGAAACTTGTCCCTAGCTACACGAAGGGACTCAGGGAGACGGGTGACGAGAAAGTAGAGGGTGATGTACATGGGAGGGGGGTTTGCGGCGCAGAAGTCAGCAGGAAGCGCAGCTCGGTAGCGAGTGTCACTAGCGCGGAGGTGGGTAAAGAGGTCAGCGACTGTGGGAAAGGCAGCAAGGTCAGGGAAGAGGTACGGTAGCATGAGGCGGCTCAGTGTAGCAGAGGAAGGGGAGGAGTAGCGCGCAACTACAGCGTCGTACAAGGCCTGAGCGGTCTTGCTCTGACTAAAGTGTGCACGCTCGGAGGAAGGGAGGTGGCGACGCATAGCAAGACGTGCAGCAGCATCGCGTGAGGCCCACTTGGAGTGAACAGTGGGGTCAGCATTAGCAGGAGGGGCGGGGACAGCGCCAGAGACAAAGTCAAAGAGAGAAACTTCATCTACCGTATCGCATAGCAAGTACAGCTGCAGGTCGTCGACCCAGACCGCAAAGTCAATGGCGCGACCCTCAGCGTCAAAAGCCAGGACACTAGGGGTGGTCATGATAGCAGCCGACAGTCTCACCGGACAGGAAGGGTCGAGCCGCTCAGCAGCACAGCAACACGGCAGCACAGCAACTCCGCCGGCCCAGGAGCAGCAGCAGCCCTACAGGAGCAGGAGCTCGGCACCTCAGGCGGCTCGGGCGGCTCGGGCGGCTCGGGCAGCTCGGGCGGCTCGGGCGGCTCGGGCGGCTCGGGCGGCTCGGGCGGTCAGCGGCTCTGCTGCTCGGGCGGCTCGTGCGGCTCGGGTGACGCGGGGGGCTCACGGGCGGCGCGGGCGTCGTGGCGGGCGGCTCACAGGCGGCTCGCGGGCGGCTCACGGGCGGCTGCACGGGCGGCTGGGGCGGCTCACGGGCGGCACGGTGGGCGGCTGCACGGGCGGCTGCACTGGCGGCTGCACGGGCGGTTGCACGGGCGGCTGCACGGGCGGCTGCACGGGCGGCTCACTGGCGGCTGCACGGGTGGCACGTTAGGCGGCTGAGGGCGGCTGCACGGGCGGCACGTCGGGCGGCAGCACGGGCGGCTGCACGAGCGGCTGCACGAGCGGCTAGGGCAGAAAAAAAAAATTTTCAAGGTAGTGGTGGTGGGCCCTAAGCACAGTTCCCACAGGGGAACCTGCTCGATACCATGTGAATAAGTGAACGAGAATGAATGAACTATGAACGAGGTGAGTACAAATAGGAAACCCTAATTGGGTTGTACCGCCTATGGGATACCCCACTATAGCCTACACAAATAAGTAAGCTATAATGTTCTGACACACGCGGTGTGTGGTAAGTGCACGCAGGTGTGCGGAAAGCACGCGCACGTGTGCGGGAAGCGCACACAGAGTGATGCGGTAAGTGCACGCAGGCGTGCGGTAAGCGCACGCAGGTGTGTGGTAAGTGCACGTCGGTCTAAGGAGGGCGCACGCGACGGTCTAAGGAGGGCACACGACGGTCTAAGGAGGGCGCGCAACGGTTGAGGAGGGCGCGCGACGGTTGAGGAGGGCGCACGACGGTCTAAGGAGGGCGCGCAACGGTTGAGGAGGGCGCACGCGACGGTCTAAGGAGGGCGCACGACGGTCTAAGGAGGGCGCACGACGGTCTAAGGAGGGCGCGCAACGGTTGAGGAGGGCGCGCGGCGGTCTAAGGAGGGCGCACGACGGGTTTGGAGGGCGCGCGGAGGTCTAAGGAGGGCGCTCGACAGACTGGACAGCGCGGGAGGACGCGGGCTAGGCGTGAGGAGAGAGCGCGGAGGGCGCGGAGGGCGCGAGAGCACGGAGGGCGCGTAGGGCGCGTAGGGCGCGGAGGCTAGCTAAAAACGAACGAGGATCTAACCTACTCGTGATACCATCTCAGAATAGAAATGCAACGGAATGTGTGGAATAGAAACGAATGGGGTACACATAAGCAACCCTAGAAGCTGTACCCCCCTAGAGTGCAACTCACTACGGCCTATCACATCAATGTGCAACATTTGACATCCCGTTACGCACACTCCATATTTGTCCTGCAACTGTTCCTAAGAAGTTGCACCCCGCCGACATCCGGTATGGGAAACACGCTTGTTGAGGAAGCATTGGAGAGTTGAGGAAATGAGCGCCGCGCTCGCACACTACTATACACCAGATATGGTATGTCCATAAACAGATTGGTGAATTCATGAGCAACAGCCGAGCACGCCTACAGCAATAACGCTACAGCTACAGTAACACCAGCTAATAAAAATACACAACACTGGTAACACTATAGCAAGAGTGTCACCAGAAGGGGCACCAGCCGATGTAGCTCTGGCAGAGATTCTCATGCGAGGTGGCCTGCACCACCAGCCGCTGCACCTGCTCCTTCACACTCACCCCCGGCTCGCTCTCCCGCCCCTCCGCTATCACCCCACCACCACTCCCCATCGCCGCAGCAGCCATGGCCGACGTGGTCCGCTCCAAGCTGCGCCCACTGTCTCCCAGCAAGCTATTGCTGCTGCCCGTGCGAGGGGACTCCGGCACGGCTCCCGGGAGAGAAGCGGCCGGGGCGGCAGAGGCAGCGAGAGGGGGGAAGTCGCGACCCGTGAGCTTGTTGCTCATGCGGGTCATCACCGCCACTGCGCGCTCATTCAGCACCTCCTGGGCGTCATCCAGCTGCCCCAGCGCCTGCAGAATCTCCCGCTCCCGCGCGCCCCGCTGCGGCGGCGGCGACTGCACCGCCCCGCCGCCTCCCCCGCCCGCTGCCCCGCCACCACCCGCACCTCCTCCTCCCCCTGCCCCGGCAGCAGCAGTGGTGCTGGCGGCGGCGGCAGCAGCGGCGCCGGTGCGATTGATAAGGCGCCAGTTGATGAGGGGATCGTACATGAAGGCCTCCATCATGGCGAGCACGGAGTCCTTGTGCTGCCGCAGCACTGCCATCACGGCCTCACACGTGAACCGGAACGTGCCCTCGATGCCGCTCACCTCCATCGCCTTCACCAGCATGCGCGTCAGCCGGAACGGGAACTTCTCGGGAAACTTCTCGCGGTGCATGGACGACTCGAAGCAATCACCGAAATCAATGTGGATAATCTTCCCTGAGTAGCGATCCAACATGAGGTTGCTCGGGTGGCGGTCTCCCAGCCCGAGGATATACCCCACCATGCTCATCACGGCGAGGCTCCGTGTGTAGTTGCACCGGCGATCCAGCCACACCTCAGCGCTGCGGCTCTTGAGCCACAGCACCCGTGCCAGGTCGTTCCCTGGCGTGCTGTCCAGCGCGTGTTCGAACGCTTCCACTTTCCCGATGACAGTGAGGTGGTCGTAGTCTGGGGCGAAGCTCAGGATGAGGCGCCTCTCGAGGTTCACTGCGATGTTGTGTGCCTCGCGGTACTCCTGAATCAGCTGGTGCATTGTGTCGCAATGTGGTAACCACCCGATGAGACCAATGTTGGGCGACAGCGGCACCACTGCGTACCGTTCGATGGAGAGGTCCTTGTCAGCTGCTGACCTGGCGCCGGCCAGGAGCGTGTTGACCAGCCCAAACAGCTGCATCACGCGCTCATCCAGCCGTAGATCCTCGTGGCCCTTCAGCAGGAACACGTACTCCCGGCCGTCGGATCCCAAGATCGAGATCTTCCGTGGCCGCTGCTTGGACGTGATCACCAGCAGCTGCGGCGCAAACCCGGCGATCGTCACTGTCGGCCGGCCGGCTCGGTACGTGCCGGGGACAGCGAGAGCGAGGTCGCGGGCGTTGACCAGCGCAGGCGCCACCTGGAGGAGCTCGAGAGTGGTGAGCGCGGGGAGCTGCTTGTTGATGCGCTTGAACACGTGGTAGTACAGGTCCCACGCCTGTGTCAGCTCCGCCTCTCTCCCCGTCCGCCTGTAGTTGGCGCAGCACTCCGCCGCCTCCGCCAACTCCCGCCCGTACGCTTCCACGAAGGCAGCTTCCGTGCTGGTTTCCGGGCCGGCGGTTTCGAGCAGCGCGTGCAGCGGAGCGAGCACGGCCAGCATGCCGTCCACATTGCGCTCTCCGAAGTACAGCCGCGAGGCCTCCTCCAACGCCTCGTGCCACATCTCGTGCCACAGGATGGCCACTCGGATCAGCTCCACAGACACCAGCTGTGCTGCCTCCACCAGAGCGGCAGAGTGCGAGCGGATGTTGTCCAGGACTGCTTGTGCGGCGGCGCAGCGCGAGAGCGACATGGACTTGCAGGCGACGAGCAGCGGGAACATGAGCGTCTGCGGGTGATGCCGCCCGACGCGGATGAGCAATGATTGCACGAGGGAGCGGACGGCGGGCACGTTGTTGTGGATGCGAGCGATGATCTGAGGGATGACGTGCAGCCACGTGTCGATGTTCACGTGCGTGAACCCCTCCTGTAGCGCCGTTTGCACGTCGGCTGTAGCGCCGTACCGGAACCAGAGAGTCAGCAGCCGCAGAATATCCTGCAGGCTGTCCCCCGCGCCCTTCCCCGACCCTAGCCCCTTCGCCACCCCCACTCCCCCGCCCGCCCCCATCCCCTTTCCATCACCTGCACCACCTGTTCCCCCTACCCCCACACCAGCAGCAGCAAACACCGCTCGCCCGCCTGCCTGGCTCGCCGCCCCGCCTGCCGTGGCCAGCGCAATGGACCGGAAGAACCCCGCAATGGCGGCAACGAGGTGGTTCTGAGCGGCGTGTGCGTTGCCCCTCTGCGTGAAATGCGTCATGGCTGCCGTGTTGAACAGCGCCCAGCGATGCCACGCCTTCCCCCACTCTGGCGCCAGCTCTGTTGCCGCCCGCAGGGACGTGCCGATCTCGGCGACGGAGGAGTCGGAGAGGGTGGGGTGGAGCGACCACTGCCACGTGCCCAGCTTCAGGTACACCCGCGAGAGAAGGGGCGCCCCGTGCGCCATGCCGCTGCTGCTGCCCTCCCCTGTGGCTCCTGCTGCTGCTCCAGCCCATGCTGCTCCTGCTGACGGTGCTGCGAGGGAGGAGGAGGAGGGGAGCCCTGGGATAGCAGAGGGGGGAGGGGGTGAGTGGCCGGTGTGTGGGAGCGAGGTCATGCCGGGCAGAGGAGACACCGGCCGCGCCCCCCCCAAGCTTGACGCCGAAGCCATCCCGAGCCCCAGGGCGGCGGTGCCAGGTGGCGCGCCGTGAGTGGCTGCGAGCGCGGCAGCGAGATCCTGCAGGCAGCGGAAGGCGTTGCGGCGGTTGACGTCGGAGGCGAGCGCCCAGGCGTACTTGAGATAGCCCAGCACCACGTGTGGCATGGCTGGGATGAGTAGAGGGGGAGTGGATGAGGGCTGGTATGCGAGGGAGGATGAGGTGGGAAATGGGAGGGAGGAGGAGGTAGGGAAGGCGAGGGAGGGTGGTATGTTTGCCACGGCTGCTGCCGCGGCTGTTAGCATGTCGTTGGTGGTGCTGGTGGTGGTGCCGGCGCTGCTGGTGCCCATGCCTCCTCCCAGACTCACACTGCCCAACCCGCTTCCCCCCAGCACTCCTCCTCCCGCGCCCGCCCCGCCCCGCAACCCCACCGAAGGCAGCCGCAGCAGCGGCACTGCCCCAGCCGCCCCCGCACCGGCCACCACCGCCAGTCCGCCGCCCGGAGTGCCAATGCTGGTAACCGCACCGCCCTCCCCCTCGTGAACATCCAGCCCGAGCATCCTGGCCCCGGCAGGGTCGTGCTGCAGCAGCCTCAGGAGGGTGGCTCGGGCCTGACTCACGCGCCCGCTCTTGCGGCAGAGAGAGGCGAATTTGAGCCACGTGTGGGCGTCCTCGTGCATGGGTAGGACGAGGGATCGCACGGCTAGCAGCGCCTGCCACACGTCCACGTTGCGCTGCGCACCCTTGATCCTCTCCCGCCACATCTGCCGGATCAGAGCCTTCCTCGCCTCAACCTCCCCCGCGCCCATGTGCCCCTCCTCCCCTCCAAATCCGATTACCCCACCTCCGTCCATCCCTCCAAAACCCCCTCCCACGCCCCCACCAGCTGCTCCCCCCCCTGCATCTGCCCCCAGCAAGCAGTAGTCTATAACTTCCTCAAGTTCAGACAGCTGCTGCACCCTCACCACGTCCCCGTACGCCCTCTCATAACTCTCCAGTACCAGTGCTGCCAGCTCCGTCGCCAGTAGCTTCCGCGCTCTTTCCACGAACTCCCTCGCCTCCCCGAACGCCCCGTGCCGCACCGCCAGCACGCCGCGGAAAAACGCCCCGTCGCTGCGCCCCGAACCTGACCCCACCCCCGAACCTCCCGCCAAGCTATGGTGCTGCTGCATCGGCAGAACCGCGCCGAACCTCCCGCCACCGCCGCCCATCCCGCCAAACCCACCCATGGACGCCCCACCGGCATCATCCCCCCCATCAGGCAGCACGGAGACATACTCCGCCATGTCATCCCACCGCCCCATGTTCCACGCTGCTCCCGCCCCCAGCGGCGCCATCTGCACGCGTGCGGTGGGCTCAGCGGGCGGCCAGGCGTCGTGGCAGAGCGCAGAGAGCTCCTCCCACCGCGCCAGCGCGCCCAGACACCGCATGCGGCCCAGCGTGGCGTCTAGCAGCGCCGCTGACGCCGCTGATGCTGCTGACGCCGACACCGGCATGGATGGGTGCATGCCGGGGTGCATGCCCCCGGGAGCAGCGCCGGGCCCGCCAGAGAGAAGCATCCCCGTCTGCCCCATGACGCCTCCCGCTGCCGCTCCGCCTCCCCCGACCCCGCCCCCCATGGCCGCCACAGCAGCGGCCGCCCGGCGCTCATAAGCGGCGAGCGCGTCGTGCCAGCGCTGCAGCTTCTCATACCACGGCTCCTTGAGCTGCACGGCCAGGTGCCGCTGCGCGTACACGAGCATGCCCACCGCCGCCTCGTGCTGCTGCAGCTGATTGTTGATGTGAATCAGCGCTTCAACCGTGGCCGCCGGGTCGACCTCAAACTCCATCTCCTTGTAGTGCAGCGCCTTGGCGAATGCGTGGCACTTCTCCGCTAAGGCGCCGAGGGTGCGGATGTCGACGGGGAGCGGGCACTCGTTCTGCTCCATGAACTCCGCCAGGTTGAGCAGCGTTGCGAGGATCTCCGGGGGGATGTTGGGCGAGGCGAAGGCGGCTTCGAGGGAGTGCACGAGCTGGTCGCGGCTGGCGTCGTTCAGCTCCTGCCAGCAGCTCACGAACCCCACCGCGAACAGCTCCCGTGCCACGTGCGGTTGGAGGGGCGCGAGCGTGGCGCACGTGCGCAGGGCGGGGGAAGGCGACTCTTTGAGGAGTTCTACAGAGAAGTGGCGCATCCACTCCGCCCAGTCCTCCCGCGTGCTGCGCTGAGACGACTCCCATGCCTTCCTCAGCTGCCCCTCGTTCACCCGTAAGGTGCCTGAAGCTGATAAACCCAAGTTGGTTCCACTGCCGCTGCTGCTGTTGCCGCCGCCCCTGGAGGTGCCGCCGGGGCCGCCAGCGCTGCCGACGGCGTCGAGGGACGACCCCATGCCGTCGAAGTCGAAGCCCCAGTCCTCATCGAACCCCACCGTGGCGTTTAGTGGCCCTCCCCCGCCGCCACCAGCACCACCGCCAGCGCCGCCAGCAGCCGCAGCGCCTGTGCCGCCCGCGCCCCTGCCTCCGCCCCCCGCTCCTCCTCCCGCCCCCTGCCCGCCCGCGCCTCCCCCTCCTCCCCCCTGCGTCCCCCCCCCTCCCCCAGCCGCTCCCCCCTGGCCTACGAGATTATCGGAGCTCCCCCAGGTGCTCCCCCCGGCGAAGGAGGCGGAGGAGGGAACACGGGGGAGGGAGGAGTGGGCGGCGGGGGGGAGGTTGAGCAGCAGCGAGGGGTCGCGGCGCTGCAGGCACGCTGCTATGGCGTCGAATCGCGCGCTGGAGAGGCGGTGGCGGGAGAGGAGGCGGCGGATGGTGGGGATGAATGGGGCGAAGTCGGGTCCCTGGGGGGAGGGATTGTGTGGGGAGGGGGAATGGGGCGCATTGGGGAATTGGGTAGGAGAAATGGGGGGGGAAGATGGAGAGAAGCGTGTGGATGGGATGGGAGCGTGGCGAGAGGCAGGAGATGCGATTGGAAGCAAGTGGGGAAAGTGTCACATGACAGCGAAACAGAGGGAGCATATAGTCCCACATCAAGTGCACGCAGTGCCAACCCACCCGCCTGCTACATCCCCACCCAACTTCCAGCAAGCAGCAAGCAGCAAGCAGCAAGCAGCAAGCAGCAGGGAACTGACCTGGGCGAGAGCGAGGTCACAGATGGCGTCAGCAGCGTCCCTGCGGAGCTCCTCGCTGGGCCCGTCCAGCACGCGCGCCAGCGGATGCAGGATGGCCGCCGCATGGTCCGCCACGTGCAAGGAGGGCAGCAGGCGTGTGAGCGTGCGCACGGCAGCGCGCTGGATGGGCAGCGGCACGTCGGACACGCCGGGCTTAAAGAGGCGCACCACGGCGGGCAGCAGCAGGTGCATGTGCGGCTCCATGTCGCCGCCCAGCATGCTGCCGCCCAGCACCTCAAACGCGTGCAGCACGGGCGGCACGCGCTTGTAGTCGCCGCTGCGCTCCGCGTCCGCCACGACCGCCACGCACCGCGGGAGCAAGTCCGGGAGGCACGCCTTGAAGTCCTCGGGGAGGGCGCGGGCGAGTTGCTCCACTAGGTTGAGCACGGGGGAGGGTGCGGGCGGGCGGGGGAAGACGGAGAGCAGCAGCGGGTGCCAGAAGTCGTGGATCAGGGCGGTGATCTCTGGCAGGTACTTGCGCATGTGCTGCCGAACGATGCCGACCAGCTGCGCCAGCTGCCAGAACAGAAACTCCCTGAGGCTCTCGTCACACGCGCGCATGACATTGAACAACTCCGGGAGCACTCTTGGGAGGAAGGGCACGCAGGCGAGCCCCATGGTGCGGAAGATGAACATGAGCGAGCTGACGACGCGCAGGTGGTAGGCTGCGAGGGCGCCGTCGCGCAGGATGCGGAGGAGAGCGGAGATGGCCACTGTGGAGTAGTACTCGTCTGTTAGGCCTCCCGCTGACGGCACGTCTGTCAGTGGGTCGTCGCCGCCCATGCCACCCATGCGGTCGAAGCCCTGGAGCACGCGCGGTGGCTGTAATGGTCCCACTGCCCCGCCTGCCGCCCCAGCTGCGCCCCCTGCTCCGCCTCCCGCCGCCCCGCCCCTCCCGCCCCCTCCCCCCGCCCCTCCTCCTCCCGCCGCTCCCCCTGCTCCCGCTCCCCCGCCCCCCCCGCCTCCCCCTGCTGCTCCGCCACCCCCACCCGCGCCTCCACCCCCTCCTGCGGAGTCCCCCCGGGCGTCCACGCCCCCCTGGGCGGCCATGGCTGGCGGCAGCAGCAGCAGCTGGTTGCGCTTATTGACGTGCGGGTCCAAGGCGCCCAGAATGCCCAGCACCTGCAGCACCGACCGCCGCATCGACCACGCCAGCTGCCCGTTCAGCATCGACAGAAGTAACCCCAAAAGTTGGGGGTAGTGGCGGTACGGCGCGACGACACAACCCGTGCTCTCCACAACCTGCCCCAGCGTCACCACCGCCACCTCCCTCCTTTCTCCCGGTCCCGGCCCCGTGGTATCATGCAAGGAGTCCACTATGAGAGGCATGAGGTCGGGCACGTAGGGCGTGAGCGCACTCCCCGCCACCTTCGCCAGCTCACCTACCGTTGCCAGCATCGACGCCACCACCCCACTCGTCCCACCGCCACCCACCGTACCCACGGCGGCCGCATGCGCGGCCGAGACAGCCTTGAGTCGCGCCACGAACACCTTGAGGATGGGCGCGATGTAGGGAGCCACGAGCGGCGTGCACGAGTGGATGAGGCAGCGCAGCAGCCGCGCGCCGTCCTCCCGCAGCCGGCTGTCCCCGCTGTGCTCCACGTCCCCCAGCAGCCGCACCAGATGCCGCCGCAGCGCCGGCAGCACGTACGCCGGGTTCCGGGCGGCGAGCCGCCCGGCGAGGAGAACGGCCTGCTCTCGCACGTCGTAGGTCTCGTCGTTTAGTGCGATGAAGAGCGCGCGGAGGCAGTCGGGTTGCGCCAGGAAGGAGTCCAGTGCGGTGGAGGCCGGTGCGGAGAGGCACGCGAGGACGGCCTTGCGCACGCCAGCGTCCACGTCAGCAACAGAGGAGACCAATAGGCGCTCCAGCATGTCCTCCACAATGCATCGCCGCTTCTTCCGCATGCCCGGCTGTAGCAGCAGCTGCTGCGCGATTCGCTGCACTTTGAGTGCCGCAGCACTGCTGCTGCCCCTCCCGCTGCCGCCCCCCACGCTGCCGGAAACAACCCCTGCCGCCCGCGCAGCTCCTCCCCCACCGCCCGCAGCGCCAGAGGCTGGGCCCGCGCCACCAGGTTCTGCCTGGGACGCCGGGGAGGGTGCGGGGGAGGGGGAGGGGGGCGCGGAGAGGGCGGAGGCGGTGTGGGCGAGGACGTGCGCGCAGCACACAGCAGCCTCCCTCCTGGTCGCCACGTCATCATCCTCCAGGTACCTCGCCACGTGTACACGCGTCAGCTCCAGCAGGTCGTGTCCTGATAGGTCAAACGAGTACAGCGTGCACAGCGCCAGCTGCGTCACTCCCGCCATTGATAGTTCCCCCGCCACGCTTCCCCCCGCTCCGCCGCCCGCGCTGCTCCCCGCTCCGCCGCCCCCCCCGCCTGTCAGCGCGCCGCTCGCCAGGCTGCTCAGGCTGGCGCTTCCGCCGAGCGTCAGCGAGCCCCCGGATCCGCTTCCGCCTCCACCTGCGCCCGCGGGCGGGCGCACGCCCGTCAGCGAGCCGAAAGCGCCGCCCGCGCTGGTTCCAATCCGCGCGGAGGGCTTGCGCGCGAGGACGGCGGTAATGGCCTCAATGAGCTGTGATTGGACGAGCGGCTTGAGCGCGGGGAGGTGCGCGGAGATGTGCGCGAGCGTGTGCACGAGGGGGAGGGAGAGCCCCGTGTGCAGGCACACGGGGAGCAGCTCGCGCGCAACCTCGCGCATGTCGTCCCCCACCGCCGCCACCAGCTGCCCCACGCATGTCAGCGCCTCCACCGACGCGCGCCCGCGTCGCGGAGTGAGCGCCTCGCGGAGGAGCGCGGAGATCGCGGGGAGGTATGGGCGCAGCGCGGGCCCGACGGCGCTGGCCATCTCGCCGAGCGCCGCGAAGCCCGCGTCGCGATCGGCGGGGTTCTTCATGACGCCTAGGAGGTGGTCCATGCAGATCTTTAAATAGCTGCTCACGAAGCGGTCGCGGAGGAAATGCGCGATGCGCGGCAGCAGCGCGGTGATGGATCGGCGGATGAGGCGCTCGCGATGGTCGCGGTACTTGAGAACGATGTTCGCGACTTCCTTGTAACGCGCCATCATAAATTCGCCCGTGTTGCGAAGCATTTCGCCGATCGCGAGCAGCGAGCCGTGGATGCTCTCGACGCTCGCACTGCGCTGCAGCCCTTTCTCGGTCTCCTCGAACAGTCGATAGTAGCCCTGCACGCGCCACCGCGTCTCGCGCTTCTCGATAACGCGCAGGCACGCGCGCAGCGCCTCAACCGCGCGCTCCCGCACCGCGAGTTTCGGGTCGCGCAGTGCCGCCCAGATGACGTCGATGAATGTCGGGACGTGCACGTTAAAGACCGTCGGCGCGTTCGTCGCCATTTCTTTCAGAATAAGCACGGCCGCGTATCGCCGCGCCTCGACGCGCTCCCCCTCGAGCCACCGCAGCGCCTCCTTCACCTGAAACTCCACCACGTCAGCAGCCATCGCGCCGCCCGCGCGTGCCACGTGTCCCAACGTCGCCGCCGCCGCGGAGATCGTGTCAGCGTCTGTCTTTTCCTCAAAGATTCGCCGCAGGAACGACGCGAAACGCGACGCCTTGGCGGCGCTCTCCCCGAGCGGCACGTCGATTAACTCGTCGATCGCGTGAACGGCGCCGAGATTATCGGACGGCGAGGTACTCTCTACAAGCACGTTGATCCTTTCGTAAAGCGTGTCCATGAAACGCGTGAACGCCTCGCCGCTGAGATCGCGCGCCTCCTCCTCCACGTGCTGGCGCAGCGTCAGCGCGCCCTCCTCCTTCGCCGCGTACGGCGTGCGCGTACACAGCTCCGCCAGCAGCCGCCGCAAAATGTCCGCCGCCGCTCCCCGCTCGCCACTACCGCCCGCACCCCCCCGGCCTGATCCCCCCTGTCCCCCGCCCCCCCCCCTGCTCCACCCCCCCCGGACGTACCGGCATGTGCAATTGCGGCCATCACCGCGCGGCTTTCGGAACCACTAAGAACTGTTTTCGTTAGTCGCTAGACCGTACACATCGATTAGGTGACATACGCACGACCGGAAGAAGCGACGATGACGCAATAGGTCTCTAAATCGTGCACTGTACACATTACCCGTGGGCTAGTATCCTCACTCATGCTGCGCGTTGCTTGGTTGAAGAGGGGGAACTTGGGTTGCAGGCTTGGGAAACGGTTATACGCGCTGTTATACACTCTGCTGCAATCGAGAAGAGTCTGTAGAGAAATGCTAGTTTCAAAAAGAGTGTTACATTCACAAGAAGTTACCACGCGAAAGTTAGATTCTCAAACCAAAATTTCCATCAACCAGCAACGTCGACGGCAGCAACATACCCTCTCATCGCTACCGAACTCCATCTCCTAATCAACCAAGGAAGTGCCGGCCGAAGCAGCTAAGGTCGCACACGTGCTCAGTGTCCTCTCATCCTCTCGCCGATCCCCCGCTCCGCGCTGTCGCGTTTCCCCAGTCCCCCAGTAGCACTCTGTTGCTCACTCCGCAAATGCCGCTTGCTCGGTCAAGGCAGCAAATGGCGCATTTCCCTCGCGGGACCGCGATCAACGCGCATCCATCACTGCTCTTTGAATCATCAACCCATTAGTTGCGCGTCGCGTAGCTGCTACCGCCGGCAGCGCGCTTCGTAGACCATGCAGCCGGGAAAGCAGCAGTCGGCTGCGGCCCGCAGACGTGCCACGTGGCAAGTGGGGCGATTCGGCTGCAGAGGCGGCCGGTGGGTGCGGTGGGCGACGCTTCTGCTAATCCCCGTGGCATATCTTCTGACTCTCCGCATCTACCTCCGCCTGCACCCGGGCGACGCGACCAGCCACGTCAGCGGCGCGGGCCACCACATGTCGCTGCTGCATCTGCGCCTCAATCCCCGCGGAATGCGCGCGCTCATCCGCGGCCAGGCGGCGGACGTGGGCAGGGGGAACGGGACGGCGGCGGGAGCGGGTGGTAGTGGGGGAAAGGCGGCGTTGGATGCGCTGATGGCGGAAGGCGGCGCGGCGGTGAAGGGAAAGGCGGGGGGCGCAATGGGCGCTCAGAGCGCAATGGCGCAGCTGGTGGCGGGGGAGGGGGAAGGGAATCGGACTGGCGCAGGAGGAGGGGGCGGGGGGAGCGGGGGAGAGGAGTTGCGGATGTGGCGGAGAGAGTGGCTAAAGGAGGGGCGCGCGCGGCGCAGGGGAGCGGATGCCATGCGGAGGAGGGGCGAAGGGGGACAGCAATGGCGGGGATATGGCCCCGAAAATAAGGTGAGGGGGTGGGGGAGGGGGGAGGGGAGGGAAGAGCGATGAGCAAGGAAGGGAAGAAGGTAAGAGGGAGAGTCGAGGTAAGTGGGCGCGGAGGAGACGAGTGGGCAGCAAAAGCGCAGCTTTCATTGGCTGCCAATGAATGCCTGCGGAACTCAGACAGGGGGGTCATCCGCCCTTTCCCCACTCCCTCCCTCTTCCAACCCCCCCCCACCCCCCCAACCCCACCCCTGGCACCCCTCCACCCTCCCCCTCATGGCTTCCCGCACCAACTCCCCCCTCTCGCTGTGCCTTCCCCTCTCGCTGTGCCTTCCCCTCTCGCTGTGCCTTCCCCTCTCGCTGTGCCTTCCCCTCTCGCTGTGCCTTCCCCTCTCGCTGTGCCTTCCCCTCTCGCTGTGCCTTCCCCTCTCGCTGTGCCTTCCCCTCTCGCTGTGCCTTCCCCTCTCGCTGTGCCTTCCCCTCTCGCTGTGCCTTCCCCTCTCGCTGTGCCTTCCCCTCTCGCTGTGCCTTCCCCTCTCGCTGTGCCTTCCCCTCTCGCTGTGCCTTCCCCTCTCGCTGTGCCTTCCCCTCTCGCTGTGCCTTCCCCTCTCGCTGTGCCTTCCCCTCTCGCTGTGCCTTCCCCTCTCGCTGTGCCTTCCCCTCTCGCTGTGCCTTCCCCTCTCGCTGTGCCTTCCCCTCCCCCACTGGCCATCTGCCTGGTAGGCGAAGCGCGGGATCATGCCCCCCCCCCTCCTTTTCTTCCCCCTTTCCCCCTCCCCACTCGTCCCTTCCCCAGCCCCCTCCACGAGTGGCCATCTGTCTGGTGGGGGGAGCGCGCGAGTTCCACCTGACGGCGCCCACGTTGCAGCGCCACCTGCTCTGCTCCTCCCCGTTGGGGCTGCTCAAGCCGTGCTCCCCCCTGGCCACATCCCTCCCTCTGCCCACACCTGCCTGCCCTCGCCCTCATTCCCGCACCCCCCCCCCGCCCCTCTCCGTCCCCAGCCCCCTCCACGAGTGGCCATCTGTCTGGTGGGGGGAGCGCGCGAGTTCCACCTGACAGCGCCCACGCTGCAGCGCCACCTGCTGCCCGCCTACCCCTCCGCGCACGTCTTCCTGCTCGCCCCTCTCGACCACTCCGCCCACCGCCTCTCCCTCCTCGCCTGGCCCCACCTCAGCGCCGCGCGCTTGGGGGAACTGGGGGGGAGCGCGGGGGGGGCGGGGGAAGGGGTGGGGGAAGGGGGTGGGTGGCGAGGTGGAGATTTTCCGGGGTACTCCCTCGTGCAGGTGAGCGTGCTGCCAGACGTGCCGGTGAATGAGACAAAAATCACCGACCGGCTGCTGGAGGTGGTGGAGGGCAGCGAGGCGCAGACGCGGCAGGGGTTGATGCAGCAGTTTAAAGCCGTAGAACTCTGCGTTACCGCCATCACGCGTTACGAGAAAACCCACGCGATCCGATACGATTGGATTCTGCGGACGCGCGTGGACGGGTACTGGATGGGGCCGCCGCCGCCCCTGTCGGTGCTGGATCCGATTGCGTACACGATTCCGGGCGGCAGCGACTGGGGCGGGCTGAACGACCGGCTGGGGATGGGAGGCAGGAAGGCGAGCTGGAAGGCGCTGAGACGGCTGAGCGTGCTGCGGCCGCTGGTTGAGCGCGGAGGGTACTCGGAACTGAACGCGGAACGGGTGTATCTGGCTCAAATGGCGTTCCTGCAAGTGCAGGTGAGATGGGAATGCGGGTGGAAGGCTGTGAGGTGAGGTGAGGTGAGGTGAGGTGAGGTGCACTGGTGGAGAGAGCGGGGGGTACAGCGAGTTGAGCGCGGAGCAGGTGTATGTGCAGGTGCAGGTGTATGTGCAGGTGCAGGTGTATGTGCAGGTGAGGGGGGAATGCATGTGGGTGGAAGGCGCTGGAAAGGCTGAGTGTGTTGCAGCCGCTGATGGAGCGCCGTGGATACAGCAAACTCAATCGGATACAGCAAACTCAATCGGATACAGCAAACTCAACCGGATACAGCAAACTCAATCGGATACAGCAAACTCAATCGGATACAGCAAACTCAATCGGATACAGCAAACTCAATCGGATACAGCAAACTCAATCGGATACAGCAAACTCAATCGGATACAGCAAACTCAATCGGATACAGCAAACTCAATCGGATACAGCAAACTCAATCGGATACAGCAAACTCAATCGGATACAGCAAACTCAATCGGATACAGCAAACTCAATCGGATACAGCAAACTCAATCGGATACAGCAAACTCAATCGGATACAGCAAACTCAATCGGATACAGCAAACTCAATCGGATACAGCAAACTCAATCGGATACAGCAAACTCAATCGGATACAGCAAACTCAATCGGATACAGCAAACTCAATCGGATACAGCAAACTCAATCGGATACAGCAAACTCAATCGGATACAGCAAACTCAATCGGATACAGCAAACTCAATCGGATACAGCAAACTCAATCGGATACAGCAAACTCAATCGGATACAGCAAACTCAATCGGATACAGCAAACTCAATCGGATACAGCAAACTCAATCGGATACAGCAAACTCAATCGGATACAGCAAACTCAATCGGATACAGCAAACTCAATCGGATACAGCAAACTCAATCGGATACAGCAAACTCAATCGGATACAGCAAACTCAATCGGATACAGCAAACTCAATCGGATACAGCAAACTCAATCGGATACAGCAAACTCAATCGGATACAGCAAACTCAATCGGATACAGCAAACTCAATCGGATACAGCAAACTCAATCGGATACAGCAAACTCAATCGGATACAGCAAACTCAATCGGATACAGCAAACTCAATCGGATACAGCAAACTCAATCGGATACAGCAAACTCAATCGGATACAGCAAACTCAATCGGATACAGCAAACTCAATCGGATACAGCAAACTCAATCGGATACAGCAAACTCAATCGGATACAGCAAACTCAATCGGATACAGCAAACTCAATCGGATACAGCAAACTCAATCGGATACAGCAAACTCAATCGGATACAGCAAACCTCAATCGGATACAGCAACCTCAATCGGATACAGCAACCTCAATCGGATACAGCAAACTCAATCGGATACAGCAAACTCAATCGGATACAGCAAACTCAATCGGATACAGCAAACTCAATCGGATACAGCAAACTCAATCGGATACAGCAAACTCAATCGGATACAGCAAACTCAATCGGATACAGCAAACTCAATCGGATACAGCAAACTCAATCGGATACAGCAAACTCAATCGGATACAGCAAACTCAATCGGATACAGCAAACTCAATCGGATACAGCAAACTCAATCGGATACAGCAACTCAATCGGATACAGCAAACTCAATCGGATACAGCAAACTCAATCGGATACAGCAAACTCAATCGGATACAGCAAACTCAATCGGATACAGCAAACTCAATCGGATACAGCAAACTCAATCGGATACAGCAAACTCAATCGGATACAGCAAACTCAATCGGATACAGCAAACTCAATCGGATACAGCAAACTCAATCGGATACAGCAAACTCAATCGGATACAGCAAACTCAATCGGATACAGCAAACTCAATCGGATACAGCAAACTCAATCGGATACAGCAAACTCAATCGGATACAGCAAACTCAATCGGATACAGCAAACTCAATCGGATACAGCAAACTCAATCGGATACAGCAAACTCAATCGGATACAGCAAACTCAATCGGATACAGCAAACTCAATCGGATACAGCAAACTCAATCGGATACAGCAAACTCAATCGGATACAGCAAACTCAATCGGATACAGCAAACTCAATCGGATACAGCAAACTCAATCGGATACAGCAAACTCAATCGGATACAGCAATCTCAATCGGATACAGCAAACTCAATCGGATACAGCAAACTCAATCGGATACAGCAAACTCAATCGGATACAGCAAACTCAATCGGATACAGCAAACTCAATCGGATACAGCAAACTCAATCGGATACAGCAAACTCAATCGGATACAGCAAACTCAATCGGATACAGCAAACTCAATCGGATACAGCAAACTCAATCGGATACAGCAAACTCAATCGGATACAGCAAACTCAATCGGATACAGCAAACTCAATCGGATACAGCAAACTCAATCGGATACAGCAAACTCAATCGGATACAGCAAACTCAATCGGATACAGCAAACTCAATCGGATACAGCAAACTCAATCGGATACAGCAAACTCAATCGGATACAGCAAACTCAATCGGATACAGCAAACTCAATCGGATACAGCAAACTCAATCGGATACAGCAAACTCAATCGGATACAGCAAACTCAATCGGATACAGCAAACTCAATCGGATACAGCAAACTCAATCGGATACAGCAAACTCAATCGGATACAGCAAACTCAATCGGATACAGCAAACTCAATCGGATACAGCAAACTCAATCGGATACAGCAAACTCAATCGGATACAGCAAACTCAATCGGATACAGCAAACTCAATCGGATACAGCAAACTCAATCGGATACAGCAAACTCAATCGGATACAGCAAACTCAATCGGATACAGCAAACTCAATCGGATACAGCAAACTCAATCGGATACAGCAAACTCAATCGGATACAGCAAACTCAATCGGATACAGCAAACTCAATCGGATACAGCAAACTCAATCGGATACAGCAAACTCAATCGGATACAGCAAACTCAATCGGATACAGCAAACTCAATCGGATACAGCAAACTCAATCGGATACAGCAAACTCAATCGGATACAGCAAACTCAATCGGATACAGCAAACTCAATCGGATACAGCAAACTCAATCGGATACAGCAAACTCAATCGGATACAGCAAACTCAATCGGATACAGCAAACTCAATCGGATACAGCAAACTCAATCGGATACAGCAAACTCAATCGGATACAGCAAACTCAATCGGATACAGCAAACTCAATCGGATACAGCAAACTCAATCGGATACAGCAAACTCAATCGGATACAGCAAACTCAATCGGATACAGCAAACTCAATCGGATACAGCAAACTCAATCGGATACAGCAAACTCAATCGGATACAGCAAACTCAATCGGATACAGCAAACTCAATCGGATACAGCAAACTCAATCGGATACAGCAAACTCAATCGGATACAGCAAACTCAATCGGATACAGCAAACTCAATCGGATACAGCAAACTCAATCGGATACAGCAAACTCAATCGGATACAGCAAACTCAATCGGATACAGCAAACTCAATCGGATACAGCAAACTCAATCGGATACAGCAAACTCAATCGGATACAGCAAACTCAATCGGATACAGCAAACTCAATCGGATACAGCAAACTCAATCGGATACAGCAAACTCAATCGGATACAGCAAACTCAATCGGATACAGCAAACTCAATCGGATACAGCAAACTCAATCGGATACAGCAAACTCAATCGGATACAGCAAACTCAATCGGATACAGCAAACTCAATCGGATACAGCAAACTCAATCGGATACAGCAACTCAATCTCAATCGGATACAGCAAACTCAATCGGATACAGCAAACTCAATCGGATACAGCAAACTCAATCGGATACAGCAAACTCAATCGGATACAGCAAACTCAATCGGATACAGCAAACTCAATCGGATACAGCAAACTCAATCGGATACAGCAAACTCAATCGGATACAGCAAACTCAATCGGATACAGCAAACTCAATCGGATACAGCAAACTCAATCGGATACAGCAAACTCAATCGGATACAGCAAACTCAATCGGATACAGCAAACTCAATCGGATACAGCAAACTCAATCGGATACAGCAAACTCAATCGGATACAGCAAACTCAATCGGATACAGCAAACTCAATCGGATACAGCAAACTCAATCGGATACAGCAAACTCAATCGGATACAGCAAACTCAATCGGATACAGCAAACTCAATCGGATACAGCAAACTCAATCGGATACAGCAAACTCAATCGGATACAGCAAACTCAATCGGATACAGCAAACTCAATCCGGATACAGCAAACTCAATCGGATACAGCAAACTCAATCGGATACAGCAAACTCAATCGGATACAGCAAACTCAATCGGATACAGCAAACTCAATCGGATACAGCAAACTCAATCGGATACAGCAAACTCAATCGGATACAGCAAACTCAATCGGATACAGCAAACTCAATCGGATACAGCAAACTCAATCGGATACAGCAAACTCAATCGGATACAGCAAACTCAATCGGATACAGCAAACTCAATCGGATACAGCAAACTCAATCGGATACAGCAAACTCAATCGGATACAGCAAACTCAATCGGATACAGCAAACTCAATCGGATACAGCAAACTCAATCGGATACAGCAAACTCAATCGGATACAGCAAACTCAATCGGATACAGCAAACTCAATCGGATACAGCAAACTCAATCGGATACAGCAAACTCAATCGGATACAGCAAACTCAATCGGATACAGCAAACTCAATCGGATACAGCAAACTCAATCGGATACAGCAAACTCAATCGGATACAGCAAACTCAATCGGATACAGCAAACTCAATCGGATACAGCAAACTCAATCGGATACAGCAAACTCAATCGGATACAGCAAACTCAATCGGATACAGCAAACTCAATCGGATACAGCAAACTCAATCGGATACAGCAAACTCAATCGGATACAGCAAACTCAATCGGATACAGCAAACTCAATCGGATACAGCAAACTCAATCGGATACAGCAAACTCAATCGGATACAGCAAACTCAATCGGATACAGCAAACTCAATCGGATACAGCAAACTCAATCGGATACAGCAAACTCAATCGGATACAGCAAACTCAATCGGATACAGCAAACTCAATCGGATACAGCAAACTCAATCGGATACAGCAAACTCAATCGGATACAGCAAACTCAATCGGATACAGCAAACTCAATCGGATACAACAAACTCAATCGGATATAGCAAACTCAATCGGATACAGCAAACTCAATCGGATACAGCAAACTCAATCGGATACAGCAAACTCAATCGGATACAGCAAACTCAATCGGATACAGCAAACTCAATCGGATACAGCAAACTCAATCGGATACAGCAAACTCAATCGGATACAGCAAACTCAATCGGATACAGCAAACTCAATCGGATACAGCAAACTCAATCGGATACAGCAAACTCAATCGGATACAGCAAACTCAATCGGATACAGCAAACTCAATCGGATACAGCAAACTCAATCGGATACAGCAAACTCAATCGGATACAGCAAACTCAATCGGATACAGCAAACTCAATCGGATACAGCAAACTCAATCGGATACAGCAAACTCAATCGGATACAGCAAACTCAATCGGATACAGCAAACTCAATCGGATACAGCAAACTCAATCGGATACAGCAAACTCAATCGGATACAGCAAACTCAATCGGATACAGCAAACTCAATCGGATACAGCAAACTCAATCGGATACAGCAAACTCAATCGGATACAGCAAACTCAATCGGATACAGCAAACTCAATCGGATACAGCAAACTCAACCGGATACAGCAAACTCAATCGGATACAGCAAACTCAATCGGATACAGCAAACTCAATCGGATACAGCAAACTCAATCGGATACAGCAAACTCAATCGGATACAGCAAACTCAATCGGATACAGCAAACTCAATCGGATACAGCAAACTCAATCGGATACAGCAAACTCAATCGGATACAGCAAACTCAATCGGATACAGCAAACTCAATCGGATACAGCAAACTCAATCGGATACAGCAAACTCAATCGGATACAGCAAACTCAATCGGACGCGGGTTTCCCTGGTGCAAATGGCGTTCCCACAGGTGCAGGCGAGGGCAGGCTGATGCGAGTCAGTGAAGCGGGTGATTGTGCTGCAGGGGCAGCAGTGTGGTTGAGTGGGGGAAACACTCTTTAACGCTGTTGGGTGGGGCCACTCCATACTGTGGGCGCCGATGGCGCTACGCAAATCTGGGCAAGCGAAGGTGAAGGTGCGGAGTGGATGTGAGCGGGTGACATGAAACGAAGTGGTGCTGCTGCATGTGCAGCAGGGGACGTGGTGGCGGCTTGCGTACGGCCTCCTGGATCACTCTGGTTGGTGGGTAGGAGGGAGGGGAGGGGGCGGGGGGTGCATGATCAGTCGGAGATGGCGCTCCTGCAAAAAGGGGGGAAGGTGGGATAGGTGAGGGGAGGGAAAGAGGGGAGAGAGGGGCGAGGGGGGGGAAATGAGGTGCGGTCGTGGCTGGTTGTGAAACAGCATGGTTGTGGTATGGTGGCATGGTATGCCATGCATTCTACATCCACCTCCTCACCATTACTCCTCTCAGTGTCTCAATCCACCTGCCCTCACCGCACAGCACCCATGCACGTCATGTTACCACTCCCTTTTTACGTCACTCACCTGCTCAGAACTATCTGGCTTCAACAACCCGCTGCCCGCCCGCTACCACAACCCCCCACGTATTCTCCAATTTTCTCGTCTTTCCATTCCCGCCCTTCACTCCTCTTATTCTCTTCATTTTTCCCCTTCCTCTCATCACCCCCCACCCCCCCAGGTAGCGCGCTACGACTTCCCCTTCTGCATCCTCAGCCGCAAGAAAGGCCTCCCAGCCTTCCCTGTCGCCGCCGCCCTCTCCTCCACCGCCGCCGCCCTCAACGGCGCTAAGTGCCGCCCGTGCCGCCCCACCGTGGTTGGCGGGCAGGCCGCAAAATACATCCTCGCGCTGCCCGAGCGGATCTTTGGCGCGCAGCCCCACGGGATCGACCTGTGCCGGGCAGAAGACGACTGGGCGGCAGACTGGCGTGAAATCTTCGATAAAGACGCGGGAGAGGTCCCCGCCGCCGCCCGGCAATACATGGAAGCGCGAACCTTTGACGAGTGCGTGGACGACTGGCGCTACTTCCACCAGCAGGTCCCTGTCTGGAACGCCCCTCCCCCAGTCTCCATCTGCGTACGCGGGCTTCTAGGGAAGTTCCACAAGATGGGGTACCCGGGGGGGGATTTCCCGGTGTTTCTGGACCCGTGGGTGGGGGCGCGGGGGGAGGCGAGGGGGAGGAAGCCGGTGGTGTATTCGGCAGTGGCCGGGGTGGACTACAGCTTTGACTGGGCGCTGATGCGCAAGCTGCGGTGCCGCGTGCACGCGTTTGACAGCACGCCTGAGGGCATGCGGTGGATCGGGGACAAGATTGACAACCTCCCGCCCGCCTCCTGGGTGCACCATGCGTGGCTGCTGGCGCCGCACGACCGCCCCCTGCAGGTGAGCTAGGCGCATATGCAATGCGCATGCCTTGTGGGTGGGTGCACCATGTGTGGCTGCTGGCGCCGCATGACCGCCCCCTGCAGGTAGCTTGCTTTGCACAGTGCGCATGTGTGCGTGTGGGTGGAGTCAGGAGTGACCTCAATAGAGTGCATGGGCATGGGTTGGTGGCACGAGTCAAGGCTGCCACGCCCATGCCTGCTGTTGTGCGGCATGGGGCCTGACAGAGTGCGGCAGCGGCGGCTGTAGCCATGGTTGTTCCCTCTGCCATCACCATGCGTCCATCTCACCTCACCATGCGCGCCTCCATGTCTCCCCATCACCATTGTTCATGGTCCCTCCCTCCCCCACAACCCCCCTTCTCACCGTGTCCACCACCAGGTGAACCCAGGAGACAATGAGAGCACACCTTTGAAAGCTAAACACCATCCCTCGCCCTCTCCCCCTCACTCACAACTCTCCACCCCCAGGGGTACCCGATAGAATACGACGCCCGATAGAAAACGACGCATGGCACAGCCCCACGCGGACACCTTGTGAGGCAAACCAGCCCACTTCTCCCCCAACACCACCCCCTGTAGAATACGCCGTGGCCATGCCGCCCGGCATGGACACCATGCGAATCCCCTGCCTGTTTCCCCTCCCGTCATCCACCCCCAGGTGTACCCGCTGCACATCGAGGCGAGGAGAGGAGCACCCAGTAGAATACGCCGTGACCCGTGACCCCGCCTCCGCACGTGGCAATTCCTGAGTCAATACAACTCCTCCCCCCTCCTCCTCCAGTCCCCCGTCTGTTACCAGGTGTACCCGCTAGACATCGAGGAGCACTCTGTAGAGTATGCCGTGGCCCCGCCGCCTTGCATGGACACCTTTTGGGTCAGAAAGACCCCCCCACTCCAGCCCTTCTTCCTGCCGTCCACCCCCAGGTGTACCCACTAGACATCGAGGAGCACCCTGTAGAATACGCCGTCACCCCGCCGCCCGGCATGGACGGCTTGTCGCTGCCGCCGCCCATCCAGGTGGAGGCGATGACGGTGGAAGGCACCATGAAGCTTCTCAACCACTCCATCGTGGACATCTTGAGGATCGGCGGCCACGTGTCGCTGCATGAAGCCATGTTTAAGGCATGGACTCACGCCAAGCGCGCCCCGCCCGTCTGCCAGGTGTGTAGTGGGGTGGGGACTTTTGAGACTTTTGAGACGTCTCAAAAGTCGTCTGCCAGGTGTGTAGTGGGGTGGGGACTTTTGAGACGCCTCCAAGGTGTCGCTGCATGAAGCCATCTTCAAGGCGTGGAGTCACCAGGTGAGCATGTGGGGAAGGAAGGTTGGGGGGGAATGGGGGAAGTGGGGAATTAGGAGGAGCCTCAAAGGTTGCTGCCCGTCTGCCAGGTGAGGGGGGGAGGGTGGGGGGAGGAGAGGGACTGTGATTGACTCTCGTTTCCATGTGTTCTTGCACCTTGGTTCCCGTTGCCTTTTTCTCTGACATCATCAGCCCTTGCTAGCCGTCCCCCTTACAACCATGAGTCATCATTCCGTTGCCTTGTTCAGGTCATTGTCTCGTTCCACCACGGTGACAAGCACTATGGGTCCGCGGAGACACAGCAAGAACTACTGGCCTTGCGCTCGTTAGGGCTTGAGCTTGGTGTGTGTATACGAAAAGATAACCTGTATGAGAGTTGTGTGCTGTACTCGGTACACCATTGCAAGTACGATATTACATAATGCAATGATGCGTTTACCTTCTGTCATATTTGGTGAAAGAAAATGAACCAGGGGAGCCCTGGGAAAAGTCAAGTCATCCCCGTTTGATTTATGCCTAGAAATGAGATTAAAAAATGCCATGGTATGTTTCATGCAGGGCGCTAGTCATTGATGGATCATAGAAGTAGTTTTGTTCTTATGATGGAAAAATGGAAGACTCTGTGCTATCAGGTGTATCCGATTAGTGTAGCTTCTATACACCAGAGTTGCTCCAATTTCGGATGGTGCACAACATGCTTCAGGGCCGGTCAAACTGGGTTTGTGGAAAGACACGTTTCGTACAAAAATTCCCAAAGTTCTTCAGGGGAACCCGAAAGATATATCAGAAGCAGGCTAAGTTTTAGAGTCTAGATGAATGCGCGAGAAGCTGTTTGCTCACACCTGTGCAGAGAGACAGTTGGAAAATCTGTATAAATATTTTGCTGACCAATTTTCAGCTGCCACCATCTGTTCGCCTTGCTCTGTACAGTACTGGGAACCCCCTCACCGAGCCGCAGCTTGACCCTTTGGACTCGCGCGACGCGTGATTTCACGGATTCAACAAGGACGTGAGGCTTGTTCCTGCGCTGTGCACGCACCGCGCCACGGCATGGTACACCTCCACATCCTTATTCAAGACGCTCCATCACATCCCTGATTGGTTCGTTGATTACTTCGTCTGCCGCTAGCCCCTCGCTCGCGTCGCTGTCCAATCAGAGGCCCCGTTCTCAGTTTCCATTTCGTCCCGAAGCTAGGCCTGTTCCAACATGCCCCATCGCCATTCCAGCCATACAAAGCCCCTCACCTCACTCCATAGAAGCAGCCTCTTTCAAACTAGCGATATACTGTAGTATGCTTGTGCTTCCTACACATTACTCTCCTCGATACTTGATATCTTGATTGACTAGGACCACGCAACACTCCGCTTTCTAGTTTCCCCGAACTTCTCTCATCTTGCACAATGGCCGTGGCAACGCAGATGCCGCCCTACGACATGGGGTGTGACGGCGCTCCTCTACGCAAGGCCTTCAGCACTCCCAAGCCCAACCGCGTCGCCCGTTCACCGAGTCCCGTCCCCCAGAAGTCGGTGCTGCAGGCGCAAGCGCGGCCGGCTCAGCCACAGCAACCCGCGCTCCAGTCGCAAGGATCCTTCGGTAAGCAGCAGCAGCCGCCGCTCTACGTTCCCCTCCAGCAGTCCGGTGCCGCCGCGCCGTACAAAGTCGATGGCATGGCTGAGTTGACCTCTGCTGCCTCTGCTCCTCCTGCCGTGGCTCCCGGCGGCCTGCCGTCACCAAAGTCGGTGTTCGCTAATCATCCCGGCTCGCCGCAGCGCAACGTGGTCGAAAGTCTCTTCAAGCCGGTTGCACCCGCCGCAGAACTCGCCCGGCCCGGTTCTCCTGGCGAAGCCACAACCACACAACCCAAGCCGTTTGGGGGAAACTCGCTGTTCAAAGCGGCGGAGGTGGGCAACATGGTGATGCAGCAGCAGACGGCGATGCAGGTGGCGCAGATGACGCAGCAGATGAACCACATGCTGGCGGAGCTCACCGCGCTCCGCTCAACCGTGGCGGAGCTGCAGGTGCAGGTGCAGTGCGCCAAGGCGCAGGCGCAGTCGCAGGCGGTGGCGCAGAGCGAGGCGCGCGGAGCGCTGAAGGAGAGCGCGCAGCAGGTGAAGGACGCGCTGCAGGAGGGGCTGCTGGACGTCAAGGAGCTCATCTCCTTCAAGTGAGTTTACGAGCTCTTGTCGGTTTTTATGAAGGCGTCTCAGAAAACTTGAAGGAGATGAGCTCCTTGACGTCAAGTCCTAACGTCCAAACAAAAGCCTCTTTGTTTATCTTCCAGTACGCGGGATCGCAGAATTGTGAAGCCTGAGGAGCGTGGGCCTAACGAAGCTGCTCTCCTCTCTTCCCTCTTCCCCTCATCACGTTTCCCCCGCCCCTTCCCCGCATCTCTTGCTCCGCTGCCATGGCAGGGACGCGCAGCAGAAGGCGCGGCTGTTCAACTCGTTTAGCACGCGCGACCGCGACCCCATGGAGCGGGTGCCCAACGACGCCGGCGAGCTGCCGGTTAGGTTCCCGGCTACCCGGAAGGAGCTGACGGCCATGTCGCTGGACACGATGCAGTACCTCTTCGAGTTCTACCAGCTGCCCAAGGAGCCGCAGGACACGCTGTAAGTCGCGCCTTAACTCGTTAAGAGCCGATCACATATATCCGATATAAGAAATAATTGGCCTGGGCACGATGAACCATTTTGCTGGGTCTTTGACGTTCCCAGGCACGCGGTAAGTAGCGCCTAACCCCGCGCCTTCGCGGTAGGCTAACCCGGCGGCGGGCGTAGATATCTCGTCTACGCTGCCCGCGCCCTTGGTCACTCGCACTGCTGCCGTGCGACAGCACTAACCCGCCTCTTGCGTTCCTCGTGCTTTTTTCCTCCCATTGCTTCCCCCTCTCCCCTCCCGCTCTTCCCCGTTCAGCTACGACCGTTTGATGAAGCACATCGGCGTGCGTGTGTAGCTGCCAGTGCGCGAGACTCGAATGACCAAGCAAAGCAACAGGCATAAACGACCGCTCTAAAGCAGACTCGAAATACATAGCGGATAGGCTTAGGTGGCAAATCCTCGCCCAAGAGGTGCACGCCACAAGGCAGTGGTTATACCAGGCGCTAAGCTAGTCAGCTCCATTGTTATACAGTTGCAGACAGGGTTTGGGATGTTCAGGACAGGCAATGGTGTATATGTAAGATTTAAATTTTCTTGGAGCACTTTATTGCGAGTAAGAAAACATGGCAAGACAGTGCAAATAAAGTGCAAGACATGGCAAATTACTGCTGAGACAGTGCAATCACAATGTCGTCAATCATGCCTGCTGCCCCTGCTGCTGTGCCTGCAGCGGCAGCAAGATGGGCAACTTGGGGGTCCGCTCTGGCAGCACCACTCCCTGTGCCAGCCCTTGCTGCTGCGACCCTGCAGGTGAGGCCGCATACATGCCCTGCTGCCCCTGCTGTTGCCCCTGCCCCTGCTGCTGTCCCCCTGCCTGCTGCCCCTGGTGCTGCTGCTGCTGCAGCGCGTGCAGCTGGGAGGGGAGCAGCATGGCAGGCAGGGGCGAGGAGAGTGGCTGCTGGGAGAGAGACGACATGCCTGATCCCACTGCCACTCCTGCAGGCGATGGCGTCACTGCTGCTGCCATTCCTGCTGCTGCTGCTTCCCCCTCCTTGTCGTGCAGTGCTGTTATTAGTGCCGGCTGCAGCAGCAGCTGGTGTGGCAATGAGCATGAGAAGGGGAAACACACACGGCAGGATAAGAACAGGAAACACAAGATTTACAAGGTCAACTTTTCGAATAGATCAATTCAACTTGCATGTTGGGCAGGCAGCTCAAGTTGCCTGGCACATGTTCAAATGCCCCCACAAATGCTTGCCCCACACGCCTGCCCCTTGGTATGTGGGATGTAAGCCCCCCACCCAGCTGTTCCCCAAACCTCACCTGCAGCTCCCTCTGTCTCGCAGCAAGAGTCTCCTGTGCCTCTTGCACCCTCGCCACCGCTGCTAACGCCTGCATGAGCACAGTGAGAGGGAGGACAGTGAGGTGGCTGCTGATGAGTCGACTCACAAGTCACCCTCGCCATGGCTGCTAACGCCCGCATGCACAGTGGGACGAAGGGCAGTAATGTGCTGAACACACAGGTTGCAAGTGCACTGCGCAGACCAGTACAGGATCAGCAACAGTATCTGCGCTTCCTGTACAACATTGCAATGAAGCACAGATAGACAGCGTACGCCTTCACCCCTTTCCCCACTCCTCCCTCCCCCCCTCTCTACGTCCCTCTTACTGCCCTCCCACCTTGCTCTGCACAGCAATCCTTCCTATCCCCTGCTGCCACCACATCCTTTTCCCTTCCTCCCACTTTTCCCTTCTTCCATCCTTCTCCTTCCCGTCTCTCCCTTTCTCTCTCACCCTATTTCTCCCTCCTTCCTCCTCTCCCTCACTTCCTATCACCACCCTCTCACTACACTCTCAAGACCCTCCCTCCTCCTGTATTGTCCTCGCACCATGCCATGGAAGACAATCCTCTCCCCTGCTGCCACCAGCCTCTTCCATTCCCTTTCTTCCTCTCTCCCTTCCTCCATCTCCCCCTCTCTCTGCTCCCCTCTTTCCACCTCTCCTTTCTTCCCTCTCTCTGCCTCTCCCTCTTGCACCCTCTCTCTGCCAACTCACTACCCCTCACCGCCCTCCGCCCTTCCATCTCACGGTGCGCCCACCTTGCTGTGCAGAGCCATCTTCTCCTCGTAGCCAGCACCCACCTGCCCTCGTCTCCCTCTCCCTGATCTGAACCCCTGCCCCTGTCCCCCCTCTCTCACGCAACTCCTACTCTGTTCTCAAATCGCGCCCACCTTGCTGTGCAGCGCCAGCTTCTCCTCGTACCCAGCAGCCACCTGCTTCTTGGCCGCTTCCAGCACCTGTTCACGGTGGCGGTGTGCGGACCATATTCCGAGCATCACGAGTGGTGGCGTGGTGGGAATGGTGGGAGAGAAGGGAGTCACGTAAGTGCTGATAATGGTGCGAAGTTCAGGAGTGGTGGGAGCGGTGGGAGTGTACAGGAGACCTGCAGGGTTCAGGGTCTGATGATGCATGTGCTCCATGCAACATGCGATACACGCGCTGTATGTGATTAATGCGATGCATGTGATGCATGGGATGTATGTGATGCATGGGATGCATGCATGCGATGCATGGGATGCATGCATGGGATGCATGCATGCGATGCACGTGATGCATGCGATGCACGTGATGCATGCGATGCATGTGATGCAACCCAAAATCTAGCTCTACCGACTGGGGATGTCAAACGTATGGCACAAGGATGCCACAAGAATGCAAAAATGATGCCACATGGATGCACCCAGCTTCTGGCTCTTCCCACATTCCCCTTGCTTCTCCCTTTCCCGCCCACTTCACATTCCCCTTGCTTCTCCCTTTCCCGCCCACTTCACATTCCCCTTGCTTCTCCCTTTCCCGCAACGCAACCTTCACGTTCCCCCTCGCACCCGATCTTGCCTCTCCCTGTCTCACCCCACCGTGCTGTTCCCCTTGCCAGCACACGCACCTTGATTCTCTCCTTGAGCCTCACTTCCGTGGCCGTTGCCCTCTGTAGCGCCTGCTCCAGCTGCTGCATCTGCATCACACACGCACAAGTGCACACACACGCACACATGCATACACGCACGCATGCACGCATCCGGCCATAGAGGGTTGGTTCATGAACACAGCCAGACTGCAACGAGACACGCAAATATAGCAGCAGCAGAGTAGGGTTATTTACGCCCTCTCCCCTTCCTCCCACCTGCGCTGCCACACTCCACTCTCCCCCGGCTTGCGCACCCCCAACACATACGCACACACTTGCACACACGCACGCACCATGCGCACGCACACGCATACACGTATGCAGACACACATAGCATACATGCATGCGCACACACATACATGCATGCGCACATGCATACACACACACACACACACTCATGCACACGCATACTCGCATGCACGCGCATGCCCCCACACCCACCATCCCTCACCTGTGCAGCCACGCTCTGCTTCTCCCGCCTTGCTCGCTCCACTGCCGCCCGCAGAGCATCCAGCGACTCGCCCCCCTGCCCCCCCTGACCCCCTTGACCCCCTTGACCCGCTTGACTTGCTTGACCCCGCACCACCCTTCCCCCCTCTCCCCCTGCACCCTCCCTTGCTTGCCCGTGGGGAGCCTGGCGCAGCTGGTGGGACGGCAGGCATGGGATGGCATGGAAGATATACGGGCAATGGAAAATGGCAGGCATGAGAATCTCCAGAGGAGACGCATATGCACATGCTGTACAGTGGAAAGAGAAGCAAAGACAGGAAGAGGAGAGAGAGACATGGCACGTGCGGTAGAAAAACATGATCCAGGAAGGGGGATGTTGCCATGTGTCCAAACACCATGGGCCTATGACGCACCGCCACGTGTCCAGATGCCTCGGGCGGCAGGCGCTCGTCCTCATCATACTCCCCCTCCCCCCGCCCCCGCCCCATCTCATCCTCCCCTCCCCTCCGCCCCCTCCCACCTCCCCCTCCCCCCGGCCCTCCCCCATTGCTGCGGCCAGCAGGGGGGTGGTCGGGGGAAGCATAGGGGCTTCCCCCTCGGGGGCTGCGACTGCGGTCTGCCAGGCAAAGGGGGAGAGGTGCGGGAGAAGGAAGGGGGATGGGCGGAGGGGGAGAGCGAAGGGGAGCGGAGGATGTGCGGGAATAAGGCTGAGAACGGAAGGGTCTTCCAAGGGGGAGGGGAGATGACAGGAAGAATGCAAGGAAACAGGAGCGAGGAGATGAGGAAGATGGGATGAAGGCGAGAGAATGGAGAGAGGGAGGTGTGTGTGAGTTGCTGTGGGAATGCATGTGAGTTATCCTCGTAGGGGGAGAAACTGTCTGGAGAGATCAAGGGTGGCATGACGACAGGGCAGGGCGGTAGGGCACGGGAGAGCTGCGGGCGAAGGAGTGGGGAGGGTGAATGAAGAAGGCGAGGGAGTGAGGAGAGCGAGGGAGTGAAGAGAGCGAGGGAGTGGAGAGAGCAAGGGAGTGAAGAGGGCGAGGGAGTGACAAGAGTGAGGGAGTGAAGAGAGTGAGGGAGTGAAGAGAGTGAGGGGAGAGAGAGGCTTACAGCGGACGCGGGACGGTGGGGAGTGGGAGCGGCGAGGTGGGGACATGGAGGGGCGGCGAGCAACACCACTGCAGAGAAGAGCCACGGGGGGAGGAAAGGCTCGGGAGGGATACTTATGAGCAGTTTTTTGTCACAATCAGGTGGGCGTTTCGTGAATCATGCAGTATTTTCGCATGCCTGCCTAGACAGTGCAACATGGTACCTTTCTTGATTGGCTGACCCTGCGGTTCGTTTGTGCAACGGTCACATGCTCGACCCCGAGTTCAACAAACTTTTGTTTCGTGCTACAGCACTAATATAGGGTACACTCGCACGCGTTTTTATCGCATTTGTAGGGTTACCCACCTCGGGCTCCAACACTTGGACCCCGCTTGCATATGATGCACCACGCCCTAACCGCTACACACAGAAGTGTAAGTATCCATACAGAGTCTGCCTAGGAGTAACTGCGAACGAACCCAGGAGTTCAAGAACAGGCTCACCCTCGGGGCCGTTCGCGGTCTCGCTCGAAGGAGGACTGGCGGAAGAACCCCCCGTCTCCCCGCCTGCGCACCTCCGACACCTTGATTGGCCTCCCGTCCACTATCTGGTCGTTGACCGTGCACTCACTCGCTCACACGCACACATGGACGTACATGCATGCGCACATACACGTGCGAGCACAGGCATACATGCACATGCACACACGCACAGGCAGACACAGGCAAGCATGCGGCAACAGAGAGGCATCCAGAAACACTAACACACCGATCCACGCAGGGGTACATGCAAACAAGACAAGACACACAGAAGAACACTGCGTCAGGACACACAGAGGGGAAGACAAATAATATACAGAATATTGTTCCATTAGAATCTGTGGCTTCGTGAATCTCCAAGGACGACCTTAGCTTCTGATATGCCTCTATCGAGCCCTTGAAGCCCGCCTCACCACGCCCTTATAGCCTCGGCCTTAAAGCCTCGCCCTTAAAGCCCGCCTCACCTTGACCTTAGCCCGCCTCACCTCGCCCTTAAAGCCCGCCTCACCTTGACCTTAGCCCGCCTCACCTCGCCCTTAAAGCCCGCCTCACCTCGCCGTCCATGGCCTTGATGGCGTCCTGAGCTGCCTTGGGCGATGCGAAGGTGACGAAGCCGAACCCCCTCGCCTTGCCCGTCTCCCTGTCGTATATCACCTGCGAGACACGGGCGACAGGCAACACGCAGGCAGGGACAAGCAGCACGGACGGAGAGCGATGTGTGACGATTATGAAGGAATTTCGAGCCTTGTCTGTCTCCCTGACGTGGATCACCTGCATACTACAGCAACAGGCAACACGCAGGCCGCAGCAAGCGGTAAGCCGCACGGACGGGGCGAGCAGACGAGGAGAGCCAAGGGATGATGTGACGACTACGACGATGAATCCGAAGCTCCCGCCTTGTCAGTGTCGCCTCCACGCAGCAAATGGTTCAGGGAGCGGCGTGCTTACACTCGAGGAGGCACTCGCGAAATCGATCTAAAGCTCGACGAAGGTCGACCTTCGCGAAATGGCCGGGGAGAGGCGAGCAGCTAGTAACCGCGACACCGAAGCTACAGTTGCGGTGGAGTCACCGTTACCGTTACCGTACGGACGAAATTTCCTTGGCGATAAAGTTACCTTCGCGGAAAGGACTTCGCCGAACTCTTCGAAGACCTTCTTGATGGCCCCCTCGTCGCTGTCGAACGGCAGCCCGCCCAGATACACCGTGTGCCCCTCCTCCGACGCCATGCTGCCGTCGCACGCGTCGTAACCGTCGTACTCGTCGCACTCGTCGCCGGACTCACCGGGACAAGGAAATTAAAAAAACGGAAGGGGAGAGGCACGCTATGAAACTGGATCGAAAAGACACAGAAACTCAGAGGGAGGGTGGTGAGGGAGGGACGCGGAACCCGAGAGTGGAGGGGGTCGTGGGGGTGGCGAGGAGATCTCGAGGTGGTGCTGCGTGTGATGGGTGGTGGGGCGCGATTAGGAGATCTCAAGGCTTTACAGGTATCGCGCGACTCGCGCACTTCAGGGGACCTTCACCGGGATTTCAAGGTCGTCCTCGTGAGAATCCACGTTCGATATTGACGACCTCACAAAAAAAAAGTGACCATGACCAAATGTAAGGAATTTTCTCGGCATTCCTTACGGAGCCCGACTACATCGCGTACAGCAACAGCCGTTGTTCGCCCGTTACTGCTAACGGGACTTCGCCAACTTCGCGCGCACTGTTTTGCCAAACCTCGCACTGCTGGCCCGGCCGTGTCGGCCTACGCTTCGGGACTAGCCCGAGCCTCGCTGCCAGCGTAGCACTAGCTAGCTCGCACGCACCGCATTACCGTTTGCATGTTCGCATATAAATGTTCGCTCATGCCTTAGCTCACATCTTGGTACTCGTTTGACACCTTAGTGCAATCCTCGCTACTTCGATTCATTGCACCCGTAACACTTGGTATTCAGAGCCCCTTTCTTTCAAACCGCGCATCTCCGCACCCTATGAAATCAACTTTTGATTTTTCACTCGAAGGGACTCACGTGTTGGGCTGAAAAATAGCCCTTAGGATCTTTGCAGAGGAGAACTCTTGGGTAGAAACTTGTAATAGCGGAAGCGTTTAATGAGGATTGTGAACCGACCTTGCACTGGTGTGTGAGAGCAAAGTAGATTAAATTAAACAAGCAAATACAAGGGTTTATATAAGAGTACAGGGAATACGAATAGATAGATAGATAACTGTATTGCTGTTGCGGTTCGATACAGTGCGACTCGGCAACTGCTCTGTAACGAGTCAGTTGTGTGTCCTTAACTGTCGCGCTGTGATTGTCGAGTCAAAGATCAGCGACCTTAGACTTTCTCGTAACCTCCAGGCGGTTACTCTAACCTCCGAGGTTGACTCGATGCTTCGATTGGGACTGCTTCGCTTGGTGCCTTGGATTTTGATACGACAGAAGCGCACTTAGGACTTATTGTTTCCAACACTCCCCTTCGCTTCTGGAGTGTCGTTGCTGGTGACGTGGCTTTGTCCAGTCAGCATCATGCAGTATTCGAACTTCTGCTTTCCGAGTTTCTTGGTCAAGTAGTCGGCTGCCATCTCGGATGTTGGACAGTATGACAGATCGAGTTTCCCTTTTTCTATCTCGTCCTTCACGAAGAAATAGCGCAGGGCGATGTGTTTCGTCCTGTTTGCGAAGCCGTTTTTGTTGGCGATGCGAATTGCCGACTGGTTGTCGCAGAACACGGTGAAGCTGGGTAACTCGGCTAGCTTCGCTTCTTCCAGCAGTTCGCGAAGATAAAGTCCCTCCTTGGTGGCTGAGCAGAGTGCAATATATTCTGCTTCTGCTGAAGATAGTGCGATTAACTCCTGCTTGCTCGACTGCCAGGAGATAGGACCGATAGGCTCAAGGCGGTAGACATAGCCGGTGCGTGAGCGCCTGTTGTCGGTGTCGCCGGCGTGATCGGCGTCGACGTAGCCGATTAGCTTGGTCGGTGTAGTCACGTTTTTGTGATAAGTTAGTCCGATCGTCGCGGTGCTGACGAAGTAGTGGAGAGCATGATTGAGTTCCGCCAGATGCTCTGCTTCGGGTCTCTTGAGATAGGTAGCGAGCTGACTCGCGGAGTAGGATAGGTCGGGCCGGCATGTGACTGCTGCGAAAAGAAGGCATCCAAGCTTCTTCTGATAGTCGCGTATGCCGGCGGGTTTAAGTAGAGTAGATTGCCCCTTTTCGGTTCCTGACGCGTAGCGATAAGGCGTGGAGATGGCGCTTGGTGTGAGACGAAAGCGTTTCGCGATAGTGTCGGCGTACTTCTCGGCGCTTAGGTAGATTGCGTTTTCCTCCTCACGGATGTTGAGCCCGAGGTATTGCGTAACCGTAGAAGAGACCGTGAGCGTGAGGTCTTTCTGGAGCTCCCCTTCGAACCACGTGGCGATGTCGTCGGTTGACCCAATGTAGAGGAGATCGTCCACATAGACGATTAGTAGGACGTAATCGCCTCCTTTTGTGAGGCGATACATGCCCTGGTCATGCGGGAGTTGTTTGAGGCCGATGCGGATGAGGCGGGCGTGTAGGTACTGCTGCCACAGTCGCGGTGCCTGCTTGATCCCATAGAGTGATTTGAGTAGTTGACACACTCGGTTGGGTTCGCCGTGGGAGCCGTGCGGGAGTTCAACGAAGATTTCTGCATCCACAGGTGCGTAGAGAAATGCGTTCGCAACGTCGATTTGTCGCAATTTCTTTTTCTTCATGGCGGCGACGGCGATGAGAATTCGGAGTGAGGTGTGGCGACTGACCGGAGCGAAGGTTTCGGTGTAATCTCTTCCGTGCTCCTGGTCGAAGCCACGTACGACCCAGCGGGCTTTGAATTTGTCGATGGTGCCGTCAGCTTTCGTCTTCACACGGAAGACCCATTTCCCGGTAAGAATGTTTTTATTTTGAGTTGCGCCGATGGGAACAATTTTCCAGGTGTTGCGCTCCTCCAGTGCCTTCAGCTCTTTGTCCATAGCTTCACGCCATTTCTCCCTGTGTTCCCCCCCCAGAGCCTGCTGAACCGTCGCAGGCTCCTTAGGAATGCCGGCGCCATGGACTGCGGTGACGAGACCAAGGATTTGCAGCCCAGTCTGTGAGTATCGAGGGAGTTCTGGATCCTCGGGATAAGCTGCTTCGTCTCCCGTTTCTGGGTCGGGCATGAAATTTGGCCCTACCCTTTCTGCTTCGTTGGTGTTGACTGTCACAGGTGTTACGTAACCATCGTCGGCGAAACGGTAGAAGATTTCGGCGTTGTTACTGTCGCGAGGATTATCTTCATCCATGGGCACGTCGACGGAGCAGTATGGGAGAGGTCCGGCTTCTTTCGAGGCATTGTCGACGTTCTGTTCATCCCAGTCTGCTTCGTCCGCTGCTGGCGCGAAGGCTCGGTCACCACGAAAACCACTGGTGAGATTCCGATTCTCGTGCAAGTTGGCGAGGTACGTCTGAAGGGTGAGTCTTTTGTAGAAGATCACGTCACGTGCTGCTACTGTTTCCTTTGTGTGGACGTCGAAGATTCTCCATGCGTTGTAATTTTTCTCGATGCCGAGGTGTAGTCCCCATTGTGCCCGTTGCGAAAATCTTCCCGCTCGTGCTTCTGGGGGTCTGTACTGTACCATGCACCCGAAAACTCGTAACATTTTCGTGCTGCCCTGCTTCCCTGTCCACAGCAGATGCGGTGATGCGTTGTTCGGGAGTGACGACGACGACAACAAGTTGTGCAGCATGACAGCGTGGTCCATTGCTGCTGGCCACTGGTGGTTGGGTAGCCGCATGCCACGTAACAGTTTGCGCATGCTGTTCTGCAGGGTCCTGTTCAGTCGTTCTGCAACACCTTGCTGCTGATGTGCGTAGGGAAGGGAGAGGAGTTGCTTGATCCCCCTTTCCACCAAGAACTGCTTGAAGCGCTGAGAGGTGTACTCGCCACCTCCGTCTGACTGGAAATTTTTCAGTTGTGTTCCAGACTCTCTCTCTGCTATCGGTAGCCAGGCGGCGAATGCTGCGAGCGCCATGTCGCGGCTGGGTAGGTTGCGATGCCAGACGTATCGAGTGGCGGCGTCGATGAAGGTGATGGTGTAGTTGTAGTTGACTTGGCCTGGTTCGCGATTGTAGAGGATGTCGCTGTAGACCTTTTCGAGTGGTGCGTACGCTAGAGCGCTCGGGTTGTGATGTGAAGCAAACGGTCGATGAGGTAAGTCAGCTTCGGGACATATAAGGCAAGTCCCTCGTGCCTTCTGGAGTTCTCTGCCATCGGGTAGAAGTAGAGAGTCTTTGTCAAGGACTCCTGCTCTTATCGTGTTGTTCAAAACCGTGTTGCTTGGATGTCCTGTTCGTGCGTGCCAGATCTCTTCAGAGGCGCGGTGTCCGGGTGAGCGCTGATATGCGTCGGAGTTGGAGTAAAAGCTGGCGACGAGGTTGGCGCTTCGGTGGACTTCACGTTGAGTCGGATTCAGCTGTTGCGCGGGTGTTGGTGGTGCTTCGTCGACTGTGACTGGTGTCGTTGTTCCTGCTGCTGCTGATGTTGTTGCTGCTGCCGATGTTGTTGCTGCTGCCGATGTTGTCGCTGCTGCCGATGTTGTTGCTGTTGCCGATGTTGTCGCTGCTGCCGATGTTGTTGCTGCTGCCGATGTTGTCGCTGCTGCTTCTTGTTGAATCGTTGCTAACGCTCTTGTTCGTTCTGCTTCAGGGATAGTGTGGGAGTACCAGAAACCTCCCGGGCTGAAGTCGGGGTCGAGATCCGGAGGGTGTGTCCAATCAGCAAAGTTCACAATGGCGTCGCTGTCTGCAGTGCCGAGGTCGGGAGCGAAGTCGAGGACGAAGACGTTGTTCTTCAGCACTGCTTTTCCGATGTAGAGACCGCCTCTCCCGTGGTAAAGCTTGAACTCCTGGGTCGTGCTGTCGGCTTCCAGATGAATTCCTTTTGCCATCAACTAGCTAACGCTCAGTAAGTTGTAGCCGAGTCCTTCAGCGATGAGTACCTTAGACATGTGCAGTATGACATTTGTTTCTCTTGACTGAAGCTGTACCACTCCTTGTCTTCGTGTGCGCAGGTTTTGGTTGTTGGCAACCGTGATGATCACTTCCCGTTGAAGTCGATGTTCGCGTTGTACGAAACGCCCGGACGAGCACATGTGTTGCCCGCAGCAACTGTCCAAGAACCAGGTGTCTTGGCCGGACGGTTCACTTTGAGCGATAGCGGCGTAAGTCGGATTTGGATGGAGTGA